TGGGTTGGGAAGGATGCACGAGTACATTATCTATTCAGGTAAGCCAGACAGAAACAAGCAATAGTAAGAAAAGTTAATGGCAAAAAGTTGCATTGAGGGAAAAAGTCTCAAGCCTCTAGATTTAAGACAATGGAAGAACAGAAAAATGAGTGAAAAACAGATGTGATATATGATAATAATGATGCCACCTTGTAGAAACTAGACTAAGATGTCCAATGTGCCCCTAAATTACATAGTAGAGAGTACACAGAAAAGGAAGTTGGACTACTCATGATATTTTTGTTTGCGTACTGTCAACTCTTCCAGTAGATTGGCTCTGGGGCTGCTGCAAGCCCTGTTCTTTATGATTGTTCAGTAACTCATCAGTCTATTAGTGAGAGTATGGGTGTGAAAGTCTTCCTTGGCCCAACCCCATATCCCTCAGAAGTGCAAGAGTTGACTGACCACCGGATGAGTATGCCTCAGTATCTGTTAGTTGCTGTCAGCCCTGGAAGAGTGCAGATGACTGCGGCCTTTTAAATGGGCCAGCAGTTTCAACATGGGATTTCACATCAGAGTGCACTGCCTGGGTATTGACAGCCTGACCGGAGCTTTGTGACTTACTGTCCTCAAGGACTTCAGTGCACACCTGAACATCAGCTGTGCTAGGCTAGCTCTTTACTTCTTTGAAGTAATGGTCTCCCTGCTTTTTACACGGTGTGAGCACTCCTCTCTGGACGGTCAAGAAATACATCTAGAGAATTTGGTGCATGTTTGACGTCATGCCAGAGGGGTTTTGGCTAATTCAGTTGCTCAGCTCATTCCCGTTTTGGCATGGAAGCTACCTCATGCCCATAGCAATATGAGGAGTCAATGTAAGGATTTGGTGCGATCTCATTCATTTTGAAAAGACCGGCTGAAAATCTGCTAAACCAGCCCGCCAGTGGGTGAAATGAAAGCAACTCCCAAGCACGTGGGGTTGTGTGTCTTGAAAAAAAATTGAATCGTAGACTGAAAAAAAGGACGTGCTGAGGCTCGAGCCCCAAACTGATCTTATTTCCAATACGGGTTTTAACTGTGTGAACAAAACCAGCTATCCTCTCAGTCAAAAAATGTCACTTCAATCCAAGGTGCTTGAAGGGAGAGTGCAGAAGAGCTGTTACAATTAGTGTGCAATCTCATTAGCCTGTACCATTTTCCCCCAGTAGACACTTGCTTGATTTGATTGTAACAGTGAAGATATAGTGCAGTTTCAAAAGACAGACCAGTCCTCGATTATCTGAGCTCACCAAAGCTGTCCCCTGTGGATCAGACCCTTATTTGTATTGTTTCCGTAAGGCAAATAAGGCATCAGAAGTGCCTTTACTGGCAGTCGTAGCTACATGCCAGGGACCTGCCAAGATTAATATACAAAACATTCCCCTCCCCACCTCCTGCTTTCAAAAAGTAACCAGCATAAAAGTGTTACTCAATTACTACCCAGTCAGAAACCTCATGTTGTCAGAAGTTGTTACTAAGACGACAGTGGTTGTTAATGATGTACTGGGTTGCATGCTTCAGCATATCTTTGGAAATTATACAGATGTGTTTATTTGCAGATGACTCGTTAATTTTGCTTTGAATAAGTAAGTAATCTGCAGAGAACATATGTAGCAAGTAGCTAGGTATAATTTATTCATTGTTCCTTTAATTATTCTGTTTGTCTTTATTCCATATTGTCAGGTTTTCAGCTGCCGTTCATAATAAAAGCAAACTGAAAGCCCATGCAGCTGAAGATATAATTTCTTTAGCATGTTTCAAATGGGTAGGGGATTCATCTTTTCTTGGAATGAATTGACTTACTGCAACTACTGTCTAATGCAGTACTATAGAATAAGTTAAAACCTTATAAAAATTTTAAGCACTTCTCTGAGGAAAGCGCATTCAAGTCATTTGCAGTATCTATGTAGAGTTATCTCAGTCTTTTTTGGTTGCTGGCATGGAGAGAAAATACCATTTCTAGAAATTCATCATCATTTCAAACAATCAACTGGAACAGCATCAGTTAAAACTATTGAAGAAAATCAACAGTGTCATTTGACACCTCTGAGTTAGCGATGATAAATTCAAATTTCAGCATGTCTCCATTTCTCCATATATTGTAGACTGACAACAGTTAATATCCTAACTAAACATATGCAAAAAAAAAACCCAGTTAGTTTACCAGCAGAGGTATGATTTCTTTTTGACCAAGTGCTATTTTGTGTGTTGTTACCTGTAAAACCTTTTCTTTCCAATGGGATCTTTCTGCATTTTTTTCCAAGTCACAAATTTTTCGTACAGCTATTTTGCACTGTAAATTTGGAGGCCTGAACTTTCTCAGGAATGTAGTGTTATTGTGGGACTGTTTCTTGGTCTGCTTGTCTGACAATTTCACTTTAAAGGAGTTATTGTTTGCTGCCTGACCACTTTCCTATCCCAGGTGAAGTTGCAAATTCCTGCAGGAAAATTTTGATGTTTTTGAGAATCATATTCCATAAGTCAGTCAGAATTTTACTCGGCATAAGAGTCTAGCAGAGATTGTGTAGTGTGTAAAGTCAAAAATAATTCTGATATTAAGGTCATGCCAAACAAGCAGAGGCATCCTTTTTCCTCACCTTATGAGTCTCCTGTTAACAGAAAACTGTAAAGATTTGGGATGTACATCGTTAAAAATTTTATTTTAAAAAAAGCTATGCATTTTTTTCCCAAGAAAGTTTGCATTCTGTCTCTCCAAAAGTACAATTTGTCCTACCGTTTACCGCTCTAATTTGAACTGAATTTATTTTGTAGTTATCCCTTGAACAACAGTGATCTGCATCAGTTCAACATTGAGGAGAATGGCGGAGCACCATATACCACAAAAATGCCTGCAAGGCACCACCACCACCACCGTCATCACCACCACCACGCGAATTATGGTGCCCTTGCTCCCGACAGCAAAGACATTGTTTCTGGAGTTCCAAACCCAAACAGTAAGTCCACTGCAGTGAATGACATTTTGGTAACTGTGCTGCTTTCAGATTTGTCTCTGGCAAGAAGGCAAAGGAAAGGAAAACAACATGCGTTTCAGTTTTTCTCCTTGAAGAATATGCTTCCTGTTACTGTTTGCTAGCTTTGTAGTTTGTGCAAATGAGACAAGATCTGCAGTTTCCTGGCTTTGCTATGGGGTTACGGGATTTGGTGTTAGATTGGTGTTCCATGGCTGAATAAATACCCAATTAGTCACAGATACTTAGTCTCTAGCCACTTGGCACAGGCTATTTTTTCATTCTATCCTCCTCATTTCATTTCTGTCCTCCTCTGTCATTGTCTTTTGCTGATCTGCCCAGCTGGCCTTCAGCCCTCATTGTTTGGATCTGACTTTTGCTTTCATGTCTGGGCACAAACAGCAGAAATTTTGGAGCACTGGGCAAACAGCATCTTGCTCTTAGTTTGGGTAATGGGAACAATTCCTGCTCAGCCCTGCCCATCATGACTGGAGTATGCTTGCTTGCTAGGTGGAGACATTTTTGGCTTGTAGAAAGCAAAGAGGAGAGAAGCCTATTCTGTTCCTGATGCAACCTTGGGGAGTTCAGGTGTAAGTCTCTGCTGCTGAACATGTACAGGCTTTCTTAAGGGTACATAGCTTGGCCAAATGTTTGTGGGTTTACACAGGAACTGGAAGAGAAACATCCCTGCCCTTGAGCAATCCTACTTTCTTGCTCTCCAAATTTATAATCTCTGCACTCTGCAGTGTGTGAGATGCTGAAGCTGTGTAAGAATTTCAGAAGATGGGCAAAACAGGGTATGATCTATTATTTTTCTTGCCTCAAGGGGATGATAAGTTCTTCCTTTGCCCAGTTTTTCCCTTTATAATTGCAAATCACCGTGAGATAGGCATCCATTATGGAAACTTTCAGCCTGGGCAGTTAATCTGACAACTTTCAAATTCCTGAAACCGGGATCTTGTAATGGACGGTGCTGGGTGACCTTGACTGTAGGCTGTCCCACCTCCGCAGTAATGCACAGGCATCTACCTGCACAGGCACTTTAATCAGACTTTGTTTCAGAAACCCAGAAACATTGTCTTTAATTTTCTTTCCCAAGGAGAGGGAGATAACAGTTTTTAGGAGGGAAACTCAAGAAATAAAATGCAAGGCATTGTAGACGTTTAGGGAAGGAATCCTAAGCAGCAATACGAATTGCTTGCTGGGGCTTTCAGTGAAGCTACTCCCTTAGGAGCAACATCCAGGAGACGTGCTGTGCTCCGCTGTCTTTCATTGATTTTACGCTCCACGCTGGCGTACCTTCGTGCTGCGAAGTGCGTGGGGCTGGCATGGCGCACCGTCAGCACGGCTTCCCTCCGCCTGGTGCTGCCGCGGAGGCCCGGGGTGGGCCGCTGGGCACTCCTGAGCCGCCAACGGGTATCCGCATCTCGGCCGTGGTCTGCAGCGACCGGCGCTGGCCGGGAGAGCAGCGCAGACCACCCCGTTGAGTAACTGCCGGGCGGCTTGCCCTGGCCGTGTACCTGCTGGGCCTTGGCCGGCCATTCATAGGGCCGCCATGAACAGCAGCTGAGCGCTGACAGCGGAGGGATGTTGGCAAGGCTGAGCTGGAAAGCCTCGCCTGGGCTGTCAGCCTGGTGCAGCAGGAGGCGGTGACCTTTCTGGGGGGTGTGCCAGCCCCTATTTTTCTTTCCCAAATTAGAGTTGAAGCATGCCAGGAAATTCAGTCAGAGCCAGCTATGCTGCTGCTGAGTGTCCCGGCCCTGAGGGTACTGCAGGCCCTACGGCCCCTGTCCCCCTCCTGGGGGCTCCCCCTGTCCTGCCCACTGCCCAGGGCCCCACGTCAGCCCCACAGGGCTTCAACCCCTGCCCCAGCGACGCCACAGCAGGGCTGGTCTCCAGCTCCCCACAGCCCTGCCATGGGCCCCACCGAGCTGGGCCCACCTATAGAGCAAAAGGTGATTAAAGAAACAACAGCAAAAAACACAGTACAGTGTGTTTATTCCAGGTCTGTGTCTCCTCTTAGGCTGCGCTGCTCTCCTACTCCTCCTTGTTGGTGAAATAAGCTTAGAAAAAGCTTAGAAAAGCGTAAGGGCAAATATCAGGAGCAGTTCTGTTTGTGCTCAGTGAGTGTTACCTGTGAGATGAAATGTGGGGCCCAGGAGGCTGCGTCCCCCCAGGCATGGGGAGGGTGAGCTCGCTCCCCCAAGCCCCATACCACTCGGGGGGCACAGCCTCCCTGGCCTGTCCGGCAGCTGCGGTGCTCTGAAGGGGACTTCAACAGCTGAGACGTGCACGTAGCACCTATTCCTGGAGATAGGCTTACCTTTCTCTTTGTTTTGTCTGCTTACAGCTGGTTCATGCTAGCTATTTGATTAGAGAAGAAGGAATTGGTGCTGGTTCCTGACATGGCCTAATGCCAGTAGCGCCAAATGCCAATTCCTGGTTTCTCTAAGGGAGCAGAAAAGGACAGGGGCACCTCCGAGGGGAGGCTGCGGTGCGGGCACACCGGCTGCATCCAGCTGAGCTGTTCAGGTAGTTTTGCATCCCGTGTGCTGCTCTGTAAGCTGGCTCATCTTAACACAGGCATGCTGCGTTAGACCTGGCATGCTCAGGCTGTTGTTTACACCATTAGAGCAGTGATGGAATAGATAGGACTGCTTCCCATAAATGCCGAGTCAAAGTTACTCACTTGCAGTTTGGGGTGGCAGGTCTGGGTGCCTTTTCAAGGTTGGTGCTCAGTGGGTTTGTTTTGTTTTTCATGGATCCTTTTAAACGCTGCTCAGGCTATTTCAGCTGAGAAAACCGTCTTGTAGAGAGCCTGTGGAAAAGCCTGGTAGTGTATGTGCCGAAATGGTTGGGAGCATGCTGGCTGTCAGACGCTTATCTAGGACGGCACACATGGCAGAGTGTGTGGGACAAGAAAACTCAGGCAGAGAGGAGACACTATCAGGGGTCTGCGTCAGGAACCTGGGGACACAGGGGACTGACGTCTGGCTCCAGGCCGTGTGGAAAGACCACTGCTGGGAAAGTGTTTCTAGGAAGTAAGTGGTCACTAACCTAGGGACATTTCTCGGGGAGGAGCATGCTTGTGACCAAAATATCTCAAGTGGAAATGCCTGGAGAGTCAAAAGGTCTCATGGGGGGAATATGCTATCCTCGTGGAAGCTTCCCCGTGAGGATGACAGAGGTGAGGCTGTGCACACCAGCATTTCAGTTAGGCTACCTTGTCGTTTTCCAAGGGACCATGGGCGTTTTGTGACTTATTCCGGTTCCTATGGACTGGACTCATGTCTGAGCTCTGAAGTGGAACATGGAGTTCCCACCCATATGTACCTGGCAGCAGGTCGAGAGAGGGAGAAAGCATCTGCCTTTCCTCCGCTTACACCTATTCTGATAAATGCCGAAATTCCAGCACAATTCACAGGACATGGGCAGGAGAGAGGGAAATGACAGTATACCCAGCCAAGGTTCCCTTTAAATGCTGGTGCATGTTTCTCAGCAAACACACGGCCTGGGATTTTGTTACAGAAAACAAACCCGGGCCAGACCTGCCTGATTTTTCACATTCCAAGTAATTTGTCTACTTCAATTACTGGAAGGAGTGAAATCTGGTGAAACAAATCTGACGTGTGTGTTTATGAAGGCAGTTCAGCAGAAGATGTTCTTTTCCTGCATTCAGCCTGATTATTGTATTTGCGATGCTGCCCTTCACCTCAAAGCTAAAGTGCACAGATCATATCTTTTTATGGAGTAGATCTTCCCCCGGCGTACTCACAGAATCCCAGTCCCAGGGACCGCTGTATTCAACAGCAGTTAGCCTTACAGCGCCAGCACCGCATGGAGAGGGTGAGCCGCTTGCTAAGCCTAATTGGCATGGCAACGTCGTGCATGGATTACCAGGTGCATGTGAGCAGATCCACCGGCAGCTGCCAACAAGTATGCAACGTACCTCACAGAATTTTTATGGCGGAAAATGACAAACGAGAAGAGGGAGCCCAGCTTGCCGCTGAGCTTGCAGGTTATCACTTTAAAAAAGACATCCTTTATTCCTGAACTGCTTGCTACAAAAGTCCTTGTGTAACCCTGAGCAGAGAATGGTGTGATACAGACTTGAGTTTCAGGGTGAAAACAGTGCTTTGAAAAACCACAGTGCTGCTAGATCCTTTCTTGAAATGAAAGCCTGGCTTTGCCAAGACAGTGCTAACTCAGGAAATGTATGCCTTTTGTAGGACTTCAATTTTTTGCCTTTTTTTTAATCTATTTTCAAGGTTGAGTTAAAAGGCTAAACTGGCTAGCTTGTTTTCCGGAGCTCTCCCTTTAAACAAAAAAACAGCGTAAAAGTCAGTTTTAAATCATAGCAAACTGGAATAACTTAAATAAGGCACTTTTGCCCCTCTATGTTCTTTCTCGACAGGAAAATAGAATGACTGTGTTTCTTCAAAAAAACCCAAACATCATCGTGTCTTATCTTACGACTGTGGTAATTCATTCCCAGGTACCATTGGGCAGTTTCACAGTCTCATATCCATGGAAGCAGCCGTGACGTGAGAAATGCCGAACTCTGGCATGACTAACTTGCGATGAGAGACCACCAAGGGGAGGTCAATGCTGATATTGTAACTTTTTTTAGGACCTTATTACCTCAGGGTCTGGTAATGTTTCACCAATGTCAAAACCAGTTTTTTGCTTATATCCCTATAAGCTAGTTTTAGCAGTCTGTCTCTAGTCAGCAAAGCCCTTAATGTATATTTAAACAGCTGTAGAATTAGATCTTGAGTGAGTAATATTTAATATTCTTAGGACAGCTTAAGAACCTGATCCAAACAAAACTGCAGTCAGTGCAAGGTTTTTATTGATTTCAGTGGGCTTTGAATCAGACTCCAGAGATTATCGGATTGTTCCCAACTGTTACCACCTAGAATTCATGGCAAAAAGAAATACAGGAGGATGCACGGATTTGTTAAATCATCACACGATGAAGCTCATTTTTCTCAGAAGACTTGTAGATATACATGTATATGCCACACCATTCCCCAGATGTTGGCAGAGACCTTTCAGGGCTGTTTCAAAAAATATTTTTTCTTGTCTTTCTGTGTCGGTGGTTTGTTCAAGATCTCTGTTGACAAAGCACAGCAAATTCCTGACAACAGTCTTAAGGAGGCTGGCATATAAATAAAGATGTCTGAGAGAAGCCAAAAGCTATACTCTGATCTCTTTACACATCACATGTTCTGAGAGTGGCACCTTGGCTGCATAAATAATCCCTCTGGTGTCAACTGAGTTTTAGAATATATTGGGAGGGGAGGGGGGGAGTGTAAGGAGAGAAGTATCTAGCCCAAAGCTGGGAAAAGCCCTGCTGAAATGTAGGGATGGGAGAGAAGGAGGGGGAGGAATTGTTTTCTAAATAGAAAAAACAAAAATGTCCCAACAGGCATAATTATGAAACATTTTAGGTGGTCTTACACGGAAGATGGTTTGCTGACCGCTGCCTCTTCAAATGCAGCTGAGTGTCTTGCTCTGCGGTTCTTCTGCAGCCTCCCTTCAGACTGTGTTTTTTTCTTTCTTTCTTTTGGGCATCTTTTAGAACTGAGCTCAGGACTTCCCCTTCTTTATGATGAAACTTCTCATCTGAAGAAAATAGAAACGGAGAGCGTGAAGGTAGTTGGACCATGGCCAGCCCTGCACGTCAGCATGAACAAGGTATAGCATATACATATCTACTTTTACATATATATGCCAGAGAGCCCCTTTGTCACTTCATATTCAAAAGCTGCTGCTTTTTCACCTCCAGTTCAAATCAGCATTCATCTGCAACTGGCTTGCTTTTTAATCACCTCTCACCATCTCCTTACGGGACTGGGGTTTGGTTTTTAGATTTAGCATTTCCTTCAACTTTGCCTTTTAAAATTTCAGAAGCTGCTGCAACAATGTTATGATGTAGTTTTAGTTTAGTTGTGAAGAGTTAGTCATCTAGGCAGCCCAGAGCTGTAAAAAAATAACAACACTTTAAGTGATAAAAAAAAAAAAATCTTGTTTTTCTACATGAGGAGTCTGTGTTATGCCTTAAACCCTCCCCAGCATCTGATGTTAGTGGGTGTTTTATGAGTGAGTTTTTGCAGGGGTGGCAAAACAGCCGTGTCCCACTGTTCCTGCCAGAGATCAGAGGCCACCAGGTCAGGGGCTCCTTGTATCCACGTGAGGCAAAATCCACTGTGCCTGCGCTGTGGGGTGCCTTGAGCTGAGTCTGGATAGAGCCACAGAGACCTGGAGCTCTGGTTTGCAACCACATCAGTCCTGAGCTGAACCCAGTGAAGTTAACGAGAACGTTGCCACTGGCTTCAAATGAGGTGGGTCTGGGCCTCCAGTAACTATACAGACCTGTTAAAAGAAACAATGTTTTGAGAGTTTTCTGTCGGTTCAAGGGAGAACTCAATTAAATTTCTTTACCTTGGTTTTACAGGCAGCCTTTTGTAATTGATATTATTTCAACAAGTGTTAGGGAAATTAAAATCAAAGGGGAGGTGGCAAAGTGTATCAAAAATACAAGCACAAAGGGGCTGTATATCTATATAGCATAATCTTTGTTCTTTCTGGATGAGACAATCCAGGAGATGGAAGTCAAGACTGAAAATCAGTGTCAGGTGTTTCGAATAAAAAATGAAATCTTGGAATATTTTTTTTCAACATTCTAGTTAATTAAAGTTAATCCATAATGCACTGGATTTTACGTCATGAAGATTTGCTTGAAGAACCGTGTTCAGGGTGTGTCATGGGGTGGTGGTGTAGTTCAGCTAAGGACTGCAGTCCTTATGCCTTATGAATGTGGTCATGAGGCAGTGACCTATGTCATGACTTTTGGAGACTTCTGAATTAACAAATGAAGGTGGAATATTTTAGACTTTTCCCCAAATCTATTTGGTTATCAGCTGTGAGGAGCTGTCATTTTGTCTGACTGGTTGGTTTGAGTGGGGATAAAAGGTTAAATCATAAAGTAGACGAACTGGGGTGAAATGGAAGAGAAGTCATCTTTTTCCCGTGGACATTTCTTAGGTTCTTCTTCTAGAAATAGTCTTAACTGGTAATAAGTACAGTTTTTTATAGGCAAAACTAATTAAGCATTGACATAGTTTGCCAAAGGAAAATTCTCCATCTCACAGATTCATCCAGTGAATACCCAGGTCTTGTGAGAGGAGCACTGTAGTTCAGATGTAACTGCTGATACTCTGTCTTAACCCCAGCGGAGAACATTCACTTAGGTGCAATGTCCAAAACGGTCCTACACTATTGAGCTTGGTGACAGCTCAGTTTGGCATATATAAAGGGCTAAAGTGAAGAAGTGAGAGGACTCTCCCCATGTTGACCACAGTGCAAAAGTGGATAAACCAGTCTGGCCTGCGTTGTGCAAAAGATCCAAACAGATGATCTCAATGGTACCTTTGCGATCTCAAAATGAGTAGATCTATGATCTTTTTTCTTTCTTTAAATGAAAGCTTAAAACACTTTGGTCCTGTATTCCACCGTACTGTGCAAGTAGTCCCAATAGAGTCCCTGCAACTTCTGCCTGGCAAAGCTTGACCTCTGATCTTCTTGCTCTTCTTTCTTCTCTGAAAATCCGTGGAGGGAGAACTTAGCTCTTCTATAATAAATGGTTTTCTTTGGCTTGTCCTGACAGCTCTAGAATCTTGTCCACAGTCAGATGGATTATTTATTTAAGGACTAATTAGCAGAACCCAGTCTCACAGCAAGTCAGTGCTTCACAATAAATACAGCTGCACAGTAAATGCAGCCTGTGTCTGCTGTGGTGAGACTTCCATCAGTCAAGGTTTAGCTGATGAAAAAGTCTTGCAATGAGCTCCAGGAGCTGCTAAATGCTTCAATTTCTGGCAGAAGCTCAGCA